TTGGTTGTTGTAAATATAAACTTCAGTATAAAATACAGATTTCTCAGTTTTGGGTTGCCTAGTGTGCTAATTATGGTGTGTGAATCGAATGAAATTCTAATGTTTTTGTTATTGATGACAGAATGTAAGAATAGACATATTTGCTAGACATAGTAGATTATTTGGAACATATAAATGGAAAGTAGGCTCCAAAAATGTTTTTTGAATATACATTTGATACTTTGGTTTTGCAGAGATTTCAGTGGAAGTAATTTTTTTCCTACAGATACATACCAACCAAATCAAAAACTTGATGTGGTTCAATAATTATTTTCCTTCATGGATTTCCGGTGGAACTCCGATTGTTTCGTCATTTTATATCTTTACTTGTGAGGCATATACAATTCGTAAAGTTCAATTTCATCAAATTGTAGGTTGGCCGCGCATAAAATTTGAGGTGGGGAATCTTGACACAAATATGGCGGAGAGTGAACTTACTTGTATTTACTTCTGTACGGTGGTATTAGTGAACAAGTTCACTATTTGGCTTCACAAGTGGAATCATTATAATAAAAATCAAGGAACAAGCTTACACGAGTATACAAAACATTGAACATCAAACTTACGTTTCCAAAGTTATTCTTCTTGTTGCTCTGGGTGGGACTCTTCAGGTTGTGATAATCCACGTTCATATTAGGAATTCCATTACACGGTTCAATTCTCACAACGCTTTTTCTCGATTCATCGTAACCGGTCCCCTTTATTCGAACACTCGACCATTTAATCGGAAAGTTCAATAACGTGGCCGCCGATTGATTTCTACCAATTTCGTACTTTAGACTACCGCCAACGTTTCGAGTTTTGTGCCCGTACGTGTCTGCTTCAGACGATTTGCTGTCGCTTGTCTTTCCGCTTTCGGATTTGCTACTCTTGCTACCAGTACTTCTTTTGGAATACTTTTTTTTTCGAAATGCCTCGGGTGTAGAAGTAGCGGAAGTTATTATAAGGGGTATGTCTGTTGGAAGAGTCAAATTGTCACCCATTTCTTGGTTGGGCGAGGTTAATCGTTTTGAGGGCTCTTCTGTACATCGATGGCGTTATTATATTGGCACTCAGTTACTTGATAACTCTAATTGATTCAGTTTCATTTGAGCAAAATGCTTGGAGCGACCGATATGTTTACTTGGGAGATTATCTATTATTGAAAATTTTATTCGACTGGAAAATGGTCCATTGTTTCAGTATACAATGAAAGTCGAGTTGTACAGAAATAATATACACAGTATCCACTTTCTTTTCTATATAATATAAATTGAGTTTATGATACACAACATTCGAAAGCAACAAGAGAATTTGACGAGAATACAAAACTTGCTATATCTGTTTTCGGAAAACAATTTGACAGACTATTGAATTTTGTAGGGAAACAAACATAGACTGAGAAAACACTTTTGTCTAGAAGTCTGACCAAAATGTAGGTTTTGTAATGGCACGCCTCAGGAATCTGTTCAAAATAAGGTGAATGCTCAAATTTTTCGGGCTGTGTACCTTCGATTAGGAACTTTTATTTTCTTATGTTATATATATATTCGAAGATTATCGAGTGTCTTGATATAGATAAAGAAGTTATTAATCGGACATAGCACCCAAGAAAGTGGCAAACCATAGACACGTGTTTCGGGCTTCTGGCCCATCATCAGTTTGGTGCTGCCAAGTGTAAGGATGGGCAACACTTGGTTACCAGAAGAAAGAAACACAACTGTTGGAAAGTAGGTTGCACTATATCGTTTATTCGAACTATACACTCGTCTCGAACATATATCCATAGTTCCAGCTGTTTATCATTCAGTTTGTTGGTGAGAGGTACTCAAGTTGACAGTGGAATACGGTGAATGTACCGTGAATCAGAAAGATGTTTTATAAGTGGTACAAGCTTTTCACAGAAGGTCGAGAAGATATGAATGACGACGCTCGTTCTAGACTCTAGAGAGTCGTCGAATCACTATTAGAAAAGTTGCTGAAAATGTGTAAAACTTTCAAAAGAAATAGAAAAAGAAATAACTACAATGATAATTACGATTCAAATGGAATTCCTGTGACTGGGATTAACAAACTGTATGAATATGTATCGTGACAAGATCAAGTTTGACAATAAGTGGTAATGTTAATAAAATGAATAGGTGCTTTGTCTTGAATGTTATCCAAAACGATGCTGATGAGGTGATAAGACAAGTGTCTTTCCCTGAAACTTCGAAGTACACCACTGATGATGATTGTGTTGTTAATGACATTTCATATCGATACTCTTCCATATTCCACAATGTGTATCATTCGTATGGATGAAATTAGATTTTTGTGAATTTTTTCGAAATGATTTTTTTCTTCCCTGTGAGTAATTCAGTGGTTGTGTAGAAGTAGTTGAAATGAATATCACTGGAGTTTTTCCAAACAACAAATCGTTATTTTAACATCTCGACACGTGTTTCGATCACCAAGTGATCATCTTCAAGAGGAAGATCAAACTGGGAGTAGTTGTTCCGAAATGGTTTTTTTGAATTCATATCTGGAAGAAACTTGTGTGCATGCACCCCTGGAATAATTCTTGAGGTATTTGTTGAAAACGGACAACTCTTTTTTATTTGATTAACTTTCAAACTGTTTGTTAGCGTAACATGGTTCATATTTCGAAGTACTATTTGTGAAATTATGAATTGAACGATACTCAATCATAATTTTTGATGAAGAGGAACTATAGGATCTTCCAACTGGGACTTCAGATCTTTGACAATTGATATCGCCCATCTTGTTGAAGCTACATCTGTCAAATTAAGGATATAGCATTCAACAATACGTGCAAATAACAAAATTGTCTTATCAAAATGGGTGTTCTGTTCGGGCAACGTACCGCGCGCTCCGCCCATTTTACGGTCGCCATAATCGTCCTATCGAGAGGACTATTCTCGATGTGGTGAATGAACTTGAGTTCAGTAAATGATCGACCTACACCCGTACGTTGACGACACGCCAGATCTTCCAAAAACATCGCCGCTGTCTGTGAGAGTGTGTAGGAGAATCCGAGGCAGTCGATTTCGCGTCGCTCACAAGAACTCGGCTTTTAGCAGGGTCACAAATTGGCAAATTTTGTGTGGTGACTTGGGCCTGTACCCGTACAAATAAATACCGAAAAAGTCAATGTTTGGTGTAGATTTTGGGCTGATGGCGTCATCGGTCCATATTCCTTTAGGAACGATGTTGGCCAGGCCATCACTGTCAACGGCGAGCACTATAGGTCGATGATTACCAACTTTTGGCCTTAATTGCAAGATCTGAACATCAAAGTTTTCAACAGGACGGCGCTACGTGCCAGACAGCTCATGCCACATTGGATATTCTGTACGAGTGATTTGAGGGCATTATTATCTCACTTGGAAGTGATGTGGACTGGTCACCGAGATCGTGCAATTTGACCCCGTTAGACTTTTTCTTCTGGGGTGTTCTTAAGTTGCAGGAGTTGAAACGCTCGATCACGCTACGGTGTTGAATTGTCACTGTGACAGCCCAAGAATTCAGCTCCGGGTAACTGAGTGAAGACGAGAGTGGGGGAAATATGCAAGTTAAAGTTTAATTGTGGGCGCCAGGTAATTTTACTCCTTCCGAATTTTTGTCTGAACTCTGTTTCTGAATCACCAAATGAACTTAAGCACATCTGTCACAAAAATTTGCATAATGAACTGAATTATCACCAATAAGAAAAAAATTACATAATGACCTGATTTATTATAAATTCTTCATACAATTTGTATTTGGAATTGAGCTGTAATTGAGTCACGATAAACTTTGTCAGATATTAATATAGGTTTCAATATAACCAAAAGAAACCATAAATAACACCATAATTAAATAGCCACTAGCTTTGGATCCAGAGCGAAAGGCACGTGTCACATATGTCAAAAATGAAATAAATCATCAGTATGACACTAATTTCTACTGTTTTTTACAATGTATTTTCTATATACATACAATATATTGAAAAAAACGACGAATCATTCACTGTTCACTTGCGTGGCTTGACATCTCCTGAAGTGCCAAACTCAAGGTGGAATGAAGTCCCTGACTCCGCTGAGTTCAGGGTAAAAAAAACTAAGTTATTCTTCTTTGATTTTCCCACTATTGAGTGAACAGTTCTTATTTAAATGCGGTTAACGGATGTTCCCAAAAACTCAGTTCTTCTTCTTTGATTTTCCCACTATTAAGTGAACAGTTCTCATTTAGATTCGGCTAACGGATGTTCTCAAATAAAAAAAAATGCAGCTTCAGCGCTGCCCCATAAAACCCTAGGAAGAATTCAAAGAATTATAATTTCTCCCATACAATACAAAAAAAATAATGAATTGTTTTTTTTAGACAGGACAACAGAAATAATGATTCAATGTGTTTTATAGATTCGATGTTTCTTTCATTTTTATTCTACGAAATTCTGTGCTTTCCATGAAATCTGACAACCTAGCCATAAAAATTTTAACAAAACTACTCATATAAGTATTTTCAATCTAACTAAACTCAACAACAAAAATAAAACTGAATAATAATTTGGTAAAAAAACAACAAATTTCAGCTTATCGGTATAAGCTGAAAAACTGGGGAAAGAAAATATTAATTGTCGCCAATATTGTTCACTCTCCTTTCCTATATTTTGAAATAAATCTCCTCGAATAAAGTTCCATGTTAAAAAAATAAACTAATCAATTAATTTACCGGCCAAATGTTTGCCTGAACGGTAAATATGATGAGAATTTACAAAAAAAACTAATACATATTTCGCTAGTGATTTCAATCGTAAGGCCAGGACAAAATTTATGCTGATAACGAATGGAACAAAAAGCAAGCGTAGCTACCAATACTGATAATTAAAATTCACCTTTTGATGGAAAATAATTTTTCTCCGAAATTTAGTGATGTCTTCCTAATTTCCCAATCGAAATTTTATTTCACAATCTTTTGGGCAATGTCTTCAATTTTTTCCAGTAAATTATCAACCGATAGTATGGTGAATACCAACTGAAGAAAGTTATGAAACGACAACAGGTCCTATAAGAGGAAAGAAAAAGTACATAAGTTAAAGGTCCGAAATGGCGATGCTGAAAAGTCGGGGAAGATTTGGTGTCACTTACGTGAAGTTCTATTATCCTCCAAAGAGAGTAAAAGGCCAATTTACATCAAATGCTATACCCAAGCAAGCAAACCTAGGCACTAAGTCATGTAAAATTGGACTTGTCGGAAATTTGACCTCAATTAGTCTTTGTTTTACTTAAATTTAAAGATAGGAAGCGCTTAATGAAAGACCCTATATAATTATTTGAAATGGACTAATTTTCTTCTTATTGTTATACCTATTCAATAATACTTTTTTACGTCATCAACGAACAACAATGAAAGTGTGAATTGCTTATAAACAGCGAGTTTTATAGTTACTAATTTATCTGACTACAGGTTATTTTTCGATTATGTACCATCTATTTTGATAACCTATTTATGTATCTTTATGTTATAACTTTTCCTTCAGTAAATGAGCACAGTTCTGAGCTTCTACTAAAACTAAGATATCATGATTGACATAACTTTCCGAATAATCTCGTTTTCCTTTTTATTCTCTTAGAAAATGTACGATCGATCATTGAACGGAACTTTTAATCAGTTATTAATTCAGTACAATTTTTATAACAGAAATTGAAGGTGATTTCCGGATGATGTTAATAACTGGATATATATGATATAGAAATTGAAACTCCTTTATTGTATAACTTTAAACCTCAAATAATCTATTGGATATTAAATCTGGACTCTTTCATTCAACATTTCATTCAACTTAAAATACACAATGAAAATATGATTTAAAAAAAAATGTTTTTTTAGTTAACAAGCTGTCACACCCCTACGAACGATAACCCTCATAAGTTGAAACTTGTGCTACCTAAGGACTAATGAGGTCTTACCTTTGAACGTGTGATTCCCAACACGGGTTGGACGATAGCAAGTGAAAATCGATCGTTTAGCTTGCGGCTTGAACCACCGACCAACACGGCGGTCATTTGAGTGAGTGAATGAAGAACCCACGTCGAATCGACCGGCTATGAAGTAAATTCAGGGGGTTATAATTTCAGAAGAGAATAATTTTTGGGAAAGAAAAGTTTTAGCTTTCCACTTCTTCATCTTTCTACAACAAATGTAGTTTTCCATAATCCACAGGATACATCTCATAATTGGATCAAATAAAATATAGCGTTAGAAATTTTTCAAATATGTGTGACGTAACCATAGATACACTGATTTTTTTGCAAACTCACCGACACCAAATTTGAGCTGAATCATTGGTTAATAAATGACATCTGTCAAATTCAACCAATATGAAGATTGGCCCCAGTGCAGCTCGTTTTCAAGAAGAAAGCGTTTATTCTAAAAACTGTATTGTAATCAATCGCTTATATAGACAATTTTAAAAGTTTTGCCCGTTTTAATGAGCCTACTACGAACTATAATATCTCAGTGATTACTTATTCAATTCAATAGAAGAGTGAAAAAATATTCGTTTTTTTATTACATTGAACTCCATACGAAGCACTCGTATTGATTGGTTAATCACACAATGAATCGTAAATGTCACATCTCAATAAGTGCATGTTTGCTAGTTTGTGAATATTTTCGTATGGAATTCATTTCAAAATTGAATTATTACGAGGTTTTGACAGAGTACAAATAACTAAAAACCAAGTTATATGATGGAATTTGTTCATAACGTATTCGAGTGATAATTGTAACATGGGCAACATGTGTTTCATTATACTATAACTTCATCAGGCGTGTTAATATTGACAGAATTTCAATTAACTTGTGCTTTATATAAATCAACAATTTAAATATCGTGACTTTCTACCTGCTCAGCCCCGAGACAATAAAATAAACATGTAGTTAAAAAAATTGCCTGAGTTTACGTAGTAACAAATTACCAATTTCAACATTATAAAACTGATTTATTGAAGAGCAGCCATACAATTCTATTTGGTCGTTCAGTAAATGTTGAGAATTCTTGAATCTACTGATTTTCTAGCGTCTTCGTAGGGGAGAGTGTGTATGAAAGAACCAGTTTTGAAAAACATCAAAAAAGTTAACGTCAGGTGATGGTTCTTGGATAAAATTGCTTTTTGTAAATTATTTGTTTGATAGTCATGGTTATCCAATCAAAATAAAATGAGATACAATGACAGAAATAAGTATGGCAACTTAAAAAAAAAGGAAATCGGCTCTTTCAAAGCATCATGTGTATGAAAGAGCTAGGCATATGCTATGAAAGAGCCGGGTCCCTCGTTACAAAAAAAAACAGTAAAAAAAAACAGTCTTTCAGCAAATAAAAATTTCTTAATAAACTATTTATCTGTTATATAAATCTTATCAAACTGTAAGCTTGCTTATTTCTATGAAAATCAGTTATTTATCAGTCTTGAATCACAATCTTTCAACAATCCTAAGCAATATAGTTATATTTTTTATACAGTGTGACTCACGGTCACACGGTTAGACGTTTCTGGAAAACGCAAAGCATGATTTTTCTGAAAATGATGTACATATCTACGTGAAAAGTTTATTTTTGAAATTCTTCACCTGCACACAATGTTTTTGTAACGCAAAAGATAATTATTAGAACCATTGCGAACACATCACGAACATCATCGTGTAGAACATAATTAAAAAAATTGAAAATTTTGCCTCTACCTGCTCTCTACATTCTGAAAGTTATGTTGCATATCCATGAAAATGAAGAATTTTTCAAACAAAACCAATCATTCCATGAATATAATATCCGCATCAAAACATATTTTCACATACCCAAAATACGTTTATCTCTACGTCTGAACGCGTTTGAGATTTTGGGTTATTATTATTATTATTATTTTCACCGTAGTGTGCGCTGGTCTGGCCCTATTCTCCGAAGTCTCAATACATTCGGAAGGGCGTGCCAGCATTATCAACCAATGGCCACTCCCCACACCGTGAGGTAAGTGATCATTGAGTCCGAGAATCTTATGTCCAGCAAGCGCATTGAGCCAAGAATGACAGCCTTCTGCATCTGTGCGGCTAAGATTTCTGCCTTAGTGCGGCAAACCGGTATGATTTCAAGATTAAAAAGTAGAGAGGGCATCATTCCACCAAGGACTCCAATAATCAGAACAACCATCTTGACAGAGTGATCTGGATAGAGTCTACGGAGTTCGAAGAGGAAGAAAATCTCGATATTTTATCCGTTTTTCCTCCTCTTTTCTGACGATATTTGTCTCGCCAGGAGCTGAAAACTCCACGACATATATCGTTTTGCTCTGGTGGTCGAGAAGGACTACATCAGGCTTATAAGCTTATTAGGGGAACGAATAGTTCCAATAAATTCGGCACTTCTCGTTCCCCACAACGGATTCAATATCCCCAGGAGCGTAGGGCAACACTGGTGTCTCGTCAATACCGTAAGAGTGCTGTAGATGGTAATTTAGCACTCTTAGGGCCGCGTTATGTCGATGGATATAGGCCGAGACCG